AGGCTGCGCTGATAACTGGGTTGTCTAAACCTGGTTCCTCTAGGGCAGGGGCTCTCAGAGTATGGTCCCAGGACCAGCAGAAGCAGCAGCAGCAGCAGTGCTTGAAAATATGTTAGAAATGCTAATTCGTGCGCCCCATCCCAGACCTTATGAATTAGGAAACTCTGGGGATAGGGGCAGGATATCTACAGTTTGAAAAGCTCTCCAGGTGATTCTGATAACAGGCTCAATTTTGAGAAATACTGTCCTATCCTTAGGCTAAATCCAAAGGTGTCCAATCCAATTCAGGGAGCATTTGTTGCCTTGGATTACAAAGAGGAGCACTGGTGGCAGAATGGTTAAAGCATTCAGCTGCTAATTGCAAGGTCAGCAGTCTGCTTCCATAAGATTACAGTCTTGGAAACTCTTTGAGGCAGTTCTACTCTATCCTATAGGGTTGCTATGAGTTGGAATCAACTCAATGACAATGGGTTTTTTGGGGGGAGAGAGATTACAAAGATGAATATCCCCAGATAAAAAAACTCACAGTGGAGGGAGGAGAGTGGACAAATAAAAAACAGTGACAGAATACAATAGGAGTCCCGACAGGCTTAGGCACAGAAGGTGATGGGAACCCAGAGGAAGAAGGAAGACTGGGCAATCTACTTCTGTAGAGATATCACCTTGGAAATCCAAGGAGGGGTTGCTATGAGTCAGAAAGGACTCGATGGCAACTACTACTACTACTAGTGGTGTAGTGGTTAAGGCATCTAGCTACCAACCAAAAGGTCAGTGGTTTGAACCCACCAGCTACTCTGTGGAACAAAGATGAGGTAATCTGCTTCTGTAAAGATTTACAGGCTTGGAGTCCCGATGAGGGTCGTTATGACTTAGAATGGACTCGATGGCAGTGAGTTTGGTTTGAATGGTGTGCTCCTACATGATCATAACCAATTCTCCAGGGGAAAATACTGATTTCTACTGCTTAGTAATTTTCGTGGTATAAATACCCATGTCCAGTTTCATGTAAGTGGCCCCAGCACAGCACTGGGCCTTTACAGGTCTCTAAAACCAATTTTATTGGCAAGAATTCCTGGGGGAGAAGTCAAAGCAGCATTCTTGGGGGTGAGAGGAATCTTAAAAGTAATACCTCCAAATACATAAATGGCTAAAAACAAGGCATTCAGAGGGAGAAAATCAGACAAAGAAAAAGAGAGAAGAAAAGAAGGAAGGAAGGAGGAGATAGGAAGGAAACCAACAAACTCTAAAGGAAATCAAGCTGCACTGCACACCCAGGGAAAATTTCTGAGTAAATGTCAATGCTGACCTATCACCTTAACCCATAAAATTGGCCTCTCTTTGTTCTGGTAGCGTAGTGCCTAAGACATCTGACTGCTAACCGGAAGGCTGGTGGTTCAAACCCACCAGCCGCTCCTAGGAAGGAAGATGGGGCAATCTACTTCCGTAGAGATACTGCCTCAGAAACCCAAAGAGGGGTGGCTATGAGTTGGATTCGACTTGACAGCAATGAGTTTTTAGTTTCTTTTTTTTTTTTTTTTTGCATTAAAAGGACAACTGTGTCCTTATGTTTTTACTTTTTAACCTCATCTCCTTCCCACAGATATTTTATTTTCTAATATTTTTTTAACTTCTATTCATTTCTCTCATTTTTTTTTCTCCCTGTGGTTAACCTTTCCCTGTGTCCTTCTTACCTATGCATTCCCACCTCCCCACCTTTCTCCCTGTGCAAATGCTGCCCTTCTGATCTCCCATGGTTGATTGTTCTTTTTAAGGAGTGCATCCCCCTGGTGTAGGTGTTCCACCACTAGGCCTACTGTTTGGCTGAGAGTTAAGCCATGGGAATGACTCCAATTCCAGGGCAGAAGGGTGACTTGAGGCCACAGTATTTTTTCCCACAAATATTTTATATAGTATGCATTCACTCCAGGTACCTGTCAAGGTCACAGTTCATTTCAAAGGCTGAAGACAGACAAATCCTTGATATACTTTTCCCCTCACCATTTTCATCAAATAGGTCCCTGGGGGTTTGAGCTCTGGTGGCATAGTGGTGAGGCATTTGGCTGCTGACCAGAAAGTCAGCAGTTTAAACCCACCAGCTGCTGAATGGTTGGAAGATGAGGCAATCTACTTTCATAAAGATTTACAGCCTTGAAAACCCAATGGGGATTGCTATGATTTGGAATCAACCCAATGTCAGAGAGTACTAATCTAAAGGCGGGTGGCATAAATATTCTTACAGGCATTGTAAAAGAAAGACCTGGTAATCTGTTTCCACAAAGATTCCTCAAACCCAAACCCATGGCTGTTGAGCTAAATTTGACTCACAGTGTCCCTGTAGGGAAGAGTAGAACTGCCCATTGAGTTTCCTAGGCTCTAATCTTTATGGAGGAGCTCTGGTAGCATAGTGCCTAAGGTACTTGACTGCCAACCAGAAGGCTGGCGGTTCAAACCCACCAGCCACTCCTCGGAAGGAAGATGGGGCAATCTACTTCCGTAGTGATACTGCCTCGGAAACCCAAGGAGGGGTCGCTATGAGTTAGGTCTGACTCGATGGCACATAACAACAACAATCTTTATGAAAAGGTGCTCTGGTGTTGTAGTGGCTAAGGCTTGGGCTGCTAACCAAAAGGTCAGTGTTCGAACCCACCAGCCGCTCCATGGAAGATGAGGCAGTCTGCTTCTGTAAAGATTTACAGCCTTGGAAACCCAAGGGAGTTGCTATGAATGGGAATTGACTTGATGGCAGTGAAGTGAATTCAATCTTTATGGAAACAGACTGCACATCTTTTTCCTGTGGAGTAGCTGGTGGGTTCAAACTGCCAACTTTTTGGTTAGCAGCTGGCCACTTAACCATTGTCCTACCAGGATTCATTTCTAAAAAGATTATAGCCAAGAAAACTCTGAGGAGCAGTTCCACTCTGCCACACATGGAGTCACTGTGAGTCAGAACCAAGTAGACACCAACAGTTTTGAGATTTTTGTTTTTCTACATCAAATAACACATGAACACAGTGAGAAGGCATGTGCACTGCTCTTTCAGATGCTGGTTCTCAAAGCTCAGCATGCATCAGAACTACCTGTAGGACTTGTTAAAACACACATACCTGGGCCCCACCACTGAGAGTTTCTGATTCTCTAAGTCTGGGGTGAGGACTGAGAATCTGCATTTCTGACAAGTTCCCAGGTGAAGCTGATGCTGCTGGTCTGGGGGACTACACTTTGAGGACCAATTGCTTAGAAGATTTCGGATCATTGTCATCAAGTCATCTTTTCTGAGGAAACCTCCATGTCTCCGCTTAACAGCCATTTTAATGTGCAGACAGCAAGGGATTTTACACGGTTCCTTGGCCTGCCAATCACTTCCACACATGCACATGTTTCTGGGTGCAGCCGTGCATCACTTGCTCTTATTGCCAAATGTGACGGAGCAAACCAAATGCTGAAGCATGTGGGCTGCTCAGCAATGTGCAGGGCTCTGTGTTAACAGGGTCCTAAAGCCTGTAGACCTGACCCAATAGTTCACATCACCACCCCTTGGAGCCCCACTCCAGCTTGTATGATGGGAATGAATGAATGGCTCAGCTCTTCTCTTACATTTGAGGAAATTGAGGCTTCCGAGGGTGACATGGCCTATCCATGTAGGACTCTGCATTTCAGAGGGAGCTGCACTGCTTTGTACCCCCATTTCCAGTTAGGGGCATGGAGGCTGGAGAGGCCCCTTGGCACCAAGGTCACCCAGGAATAACTGGTGGAGCGTATCTATAGCTCAAGTCATCTGATTCCTTATTTCTTCACTATATATGCCCTTGGGGCTCCTGGCTCCTACTGAACAGCCCTGGATACAATGTTTTCGGATTCCTGTTGGTGATGTTTACAGTTTTCTGTACTCCGTGGCTGTCACACTTGTGAGCAGTTACTCCCCATCACTGCTCAGATGCGGGCAGGCCCTCCTCACTTCTTGTTGTTTAGAACTGCTGTGCCGTAAAAGCTGGGTAACAATGCCCTTGGGTGCCAAAAACCCTCCTGTGGCAGGCATGCTTGGACTGCAGTTCTGAAGAGCACAAAGGTGTGGTGAGCACTTGCTAGCTGGTGGGTTCCAACCACCACCCCCTTCATGAAGGGCTGTGTCAACATCTGTCTGTCTTTGGCACCTAGAATACAGTTGGCAGAGGCCCCCTCAGAGTGATGCCAGCCCTGTGTTCTCCCAGGCCCACATGAGAATATTCAGAAATCACTCCTCCATGTCCAAACAGCTTCTCCTTTACACCCCAGATGCTGTGTGTACAGTTTGAGAAATGTCTTTCAAGTACAAACCAGTGAGCCTTAGAAATACATAAATCAACTTTTCCCAAAGTCCCAGTGGAATATGGTTTGAGGAATTCCTCTGCTGACCGTGATATGGTGGCCTCATGGGTCAACATTTCTCAAATACATCCTTCAATACTTCATGTGTAACCTTGGGCTGGGGACCTAATCTCTCTGGGCCTCAGTTTCATCATCTTTCATATAGAGGCAGTAACAGTAGTTACCTCATGGGCTTATTGTGAAGATTAAATGAGCTATGTGTATAAATTTTTTTAAGCATGCCTGGCAGAGGGAACCATAGGGTCTAGTGCCAGTAACGATGTTGCTCTTACTATTACGGAGGCCAAAAACTATGTGCATGCTTCACTGCTTCATTTATATTACGTAGAGTTTTCTGTTATCAGTAAAGGAATACAAGCACAATCTCCTTCCACCCGATGCTATGTTACACACAAAGACACATGCACAACACATTTTCACTGTGGAAAGGGAAAAGTGGGGCCCACCCTCTTACCCATGAGCTGGGGAATAAAGGGCATGACAGGACTAAAGAGGGGTTATGAGGTCTGTCCAGGTCAAACTACCTTTCATTAAGAAAGCCACAGCTGAGCAACTGCCCCATCGTCAGATTTAGCAAGCCGATAAAACAATCACTACCCAAAGAAAAGCAGAGCCACTGCCAACTCCATACTTACTTCCAGGACTGTCCATTGTTCAACAACAATAGCATCATAGCCCTGTATGGTTTTGCTATCTTCTGTGGAAACAGCTTCAAAGATGAATACTCCATCTGTCAAGCCATGTAAGGAATCTGTGGAGGAAAAAAAAAAGTGTAAGTGTATGTGGGGGGTGGTCTGTAAACTGTCTGTGGCAGAAGCCTTACAAGCAGCAAAAATTTTCACTGCATTCATTAATAATCCCAATCAGAACATCTTTTCAGCATGTTAATTAAAGAAGGCACACACAGCCATAGAGTCTAGCCCCATCAGAATGAATGAGACTAATTTACCTCGCAGTTTTGAATAATATCCTTGATTTTATGAGCCCAAATTTCATTGTTAGCAATCACCATCTGATTTCACGCGTTTACCTTCCTTTTCACGCTCCAACATCAGGATGCACTGGGGAGAACTTATTCATGGTAAAGCAGAGTCATTTAGAGACAGTTTTTAGAAGAAAACTATATTTAGGTGAGAGTTTTGTTTTTTTTTTTAATTTTTTGGAGGAGGGATAGATACAGCACGAGATCTGAGCTGTCAGATGCATTCTAGATGTGCTGATTCTTTGGAGATTGTAGGATATGGGCTCCTGTACAGACAACACTTCAGGCTCTTGCCAAGAAGTGGGAGATGGGAAGGGGAAATTTTTGCAAATGATTTACCACTGACAATGCTTCTTTGGGCATTACTCTAGTTAAAGTAGCCAGTTCAAAGTTCTGTACAACTCTACAAATGTATATTAAACATATAGCATGACTTAAGAACTGTCTTGAAGGTGCAAAGGGAAACAGAACAGTGTCCATCTCCTGCAGAAGACATTAGGGGAGGAATGTTTTGCCCTTCTTTTTAAAATGACTGCTTAATGCCCTAAATTCATTTAGATAAGAGACCATGGGGAAGAAGACTGAACTTGGAGGCAAGTGATTTGGGTCCGCACTTTATTCCAAAAAAGGATGTGACCCTTTTCAATGGCTTGATCTCTCATCTGTGAAATGGGATTGTGGACAGATGATACTACCTTGTCCCTGGATTCTATTCTACGAATCACTGCCTGATCACATAAAGCACCTTTAAATATACTATTTTTGTTTTAAAAGGATAATTTACATAATAATATAAATGGTTTTAAAGGGAGGGAAGAGAGGCAAAATTAGAAAGTCCTGTTAATCCCGCTGGAGTTGCTTGAATTGCCTGCATTCCAGAAGTCACAAAGGAAAAGACTGATAGGTCTGATTATATAACAACCTTTAGCTTCTCTCTTCCAAAAGACCCCATAAACAAAATTAAAAGGTAATCAGTAAAATGATTGAATTACTTGCAACAAAAAAATAAAAGGCTAAGCTTAATATTCTTTATAAATAAAAAGCTTTTGCAAAGCAATGAAGAATACTAAAACATTAGAAATGGGCAAAGGACATGAATTGACAATTTTCTCTCTCATAAACACACACCCATACTTCTCTTCAAGATGGCCAGTAAACCTATAAAAAAATGCTTACTCTTTCTTCTGCTTATCAAATTGGCATATTTTGAAAAGAAACTGTTTACTGCTGCTAGGGGTATGGTGATCTGGGAGAGAGTGGTGCAATGAATTATTTAATATGACTCTTCTAGCTATAGTCTTTGTGATTCCCACCAAATGACTGGGTGGAATTATGTAAACGTGAGATGCCTGTGGTCCACCAAGGGTACTGGACAGCTTGCTAATAATGTAAATAATGTTCATGGCAGTACTGTGGGCATATGGAACCCTAATGTGGAGGTTGGTCAGTTTTGCCATTCCAGTAGGCTTAAAATGAATTATACCAGAGGTGGAAAGGGGGATCTCACTACTATCAAGACAGAAAAAGAACCAGGAGTAGAGAGCATCCTTGGACCTGAGATCCTGCTCTAGACGCCCTTGGTAGAGAGACAGTGGCAGCAGAGGCAGCAGAACCAACAGCCAACAGAACCAAGAGACCAGCACAAAACAGAGCAGTGGGCTTCCTGGCCCACAGAGCAAAAAAGCTGAGTGACTTCACAGGTAGGAGCTTGCTGGCAGAGTGGAGTGCCTTTCTGGGCATCTATTGGAAAAGCTAAAAGAGCATTGTAACACTGGTCCAAGCAGGGTAGAGGCCAAGGCCAGAGAGAAGTATGCCTATGGCATGGTTAAGAAGCTTTCCTGATCAAAGAATTGTATCTTAAGTTGTTCTCTGATCCTGAATTGTAACCTGTTACTTCCTTAACAAACCCCACAACCATGAGTATTGTCTGTGAATTCTATATGGCCATTGCAATGAATTATTGAACCCAGAAGAGAAGTAGAGGGTCCTGTGGGAGGGACAGTTGGTGTCAGAATTGGTAAAAAGGAGGGTGGTGCCATGTCTGACTTCCATCCCATAGGAATCAGCCTTGGGCTGTTGATGGTGTTCTGGATCTTTCTTCCTCTTTGTGAAGTTAGAGGAGGTCAGATGAAGCCTCCCCCACAAACTTGCAGATAGTTTAAAATGTATAAAGGAATCATAACTGTATAATCTTTCTAGAGAACAATGTGACAATGTCTTAAGGGCCTGAAACACAAAAATATGTCCTCTCAGGCTGAACAGTTAGGTATGTTTATGCAGGGGGAATGTGCCCATGACCATGTATAGGGCTGGCAGACAATGTTTCTACAACTATATTTGTATGTTCTGTAAGAATTTCTAGGTATATAGTAGAGCTGACAAAGGGCAAGATTGTAGTCACTTATTAGTCACAGCCAGCTACCCAGAGGGAGCAAGTAGTTGGACATGTGGGCTCAGGAGCATGATCACAGGGGACATCAAGCTCAATTGGCATAACATACTATACAAAAACATTGTTCCACACCCAACTTTGGCGAGTAGCAACTGGGATCTTAAAAGCTTGCAAGCTGCCATCTAGATGCAACGATGGGTCACTCTCTCCTAATCCAGAGCAAAGAAGAATGAAGAAAACCAAAGATGCATGGAAACAATGAGTCCAAGGGACTGGTAAACCATGCGATCCACAGCCTATAGGACTATGAGACCAGAAGAAGTAGATGGTGCCTGGCTACCAATGTCAACCACTTGGAGGGGGATCGGTGGAGGAGATCCTGTATAGAGAGGGAGAACAATGTGAAACAGAACTCAAAATCATTTAAAAAAAAAAGACCAGGTTTGCTGGTCTGATGGAGCCTGATGGAACCCCTGAGACTATGGCCCCTAGCTGCCTTTCAGGTCTGGAATTGAACCCACTTCTGTGGCTTCCAGCCAAGCAAAAGACAGGCATATGTAGTGAACATTTACATTAGATAGATACACTCGTTGGAGAGATCAATCATGGGAGAATAGAAGGGCTGTGTATGCACAGGAAGACAGCTGAAGGACAGGAGTGCGTGGGAGGGAACGACACAAGGGGGAGGTAACTATAGGGAGTGAGTGAGAGGGAAGCTGTTGCATTGTGGGAAATTTCAGTCAATGTCATGAGACAAAGTATATGTGAACTGCTGTATGGAAAATGAATTTGCTATGTAAACTTTCATGCAAATCACACACACACACAAAAGTCCTCTATGACCCAGAAATTTACCTCTTTTTAGTGTACCATTGGTAGTAACCCATGCCATCAAATATTTATCTACAAATATTACTTTTAAATCACTTAAAAAATATAAATTATCTAAAACTTCAATAATTTAAATATTCAACCATAGAAAAACAGTTATATAAATTAAGAGATTTCCATACAATTAAATATTATGTACTCCTTAAAAAAATCATAGGAATTTAATGGTACAGAAAAGTGCTTTAGATATAATATTCAAGAGAAAAAGCCAGAACACACTACAGTATGAACTTTATGTAAACTTTTATATTACTGAGGGTTAAACAAACAAACCTTAAGGAAATATACAAAGTGCTAGCAACAGTTATGAATGGTGGAATTAGGTATAATTTGAATTTTCTATTTCATCTTTTCCTACAAGGTTAACACAAGAGTTAGTATAGGCAAGTAAACAGGCAACACAGATGAAAAGAGTTTTCTTTTTCTCTCCTCTACAGGTCTCTTGAAGGCAGAACTAGATTCAAAGAGTTTTAGAAACAATGAGGAGAAAATTTTAGTACAAGATAAAGAGAAAGAATCTTCTTTAGCCTAGTTTAACGATGGAAGATATGGTCTCAGAAGAGTGAGTGCTGTGTTACTGGAAGCACTCAAGCTCATTCATTCCAACATCTACCACTCACCACTTGTCACTGAGTCAACTCTGACTTGACCCCATGTGTGTTAGAGTAGACCTGTACTCCCTAGGGTTTTCAATGGCTGACTTTTGGAAGTAGAGCACCAGGACTTTCTTCCAAGGTGCCTCAAGGTGGGCTTGAACATCAAACCTTTCAGTTAGCAGCTGAGTATGTTAACTATTTATACCATCCAAGGACTCCTTCCGTCAGCTACTGGGCACCTAGTACTGTGCCAAGCACTCTTGTGGGCACTGAAGATCTAGCAGTCAGTGAGACAGACAAAGTCCTTGCCCCCTGGAGCTCAACTTACATTAAGGAAGACAGATAATAACATAAGGTTTGAAGTAATAAATGCTATAAAAATAAAGTGGGCTAAGGGGAGAGACTGGAGGTGGAGGCAGTGCAGTGACAGTAGCTACTTTTGAAAGGGTGATCAAGGAAGATCTCCCCAACTCTGAGTAGACCTATGAATGAAGCAAGCAAATAAGCCATATGTATCTGTAGGGTTTGAAAGTTCCAGGCAAAGGGGACAGCCTGCAAAGAAATGCGGAGTGAATGAGGGGCAGTCAAGGACAAGCTGAGCAGCAGAATCATGAGAAAAGAAAGTCAAGAGTAAGATGACTAGGGGGGAGACCAGCCAACTAGAGGCTTGTCCATGAGGCTTGCTTGGCCAATGGGATGCCAGCAGGTGAGATGCATGCAGAGGCTAGAAATGCACTCTTGTGGTTGAGCTTCATCTCTTTTGACTCTGCACTAATCTGAGAAAGACATGCCCCATGATAGTCAGTTGGTTCCAGGAAAGTGAAAGACTCGTGAAGCAGAGCTGCCCCAATGGAGTCTAGCTTAGATCAGTGGACCCACAGACACGTGAG